TCCTTTTATTTATTTATTTATTATTATTATTATTATTTTCCGGTATGTGGGCCTCTCACTGTTGTGGCCTCTCCCGTTGCGGAGCACAGGCTCCGGACGTGCAGGCTCAGCGGCCATGGCTCACGGGCCCAGCTGCTCCGCGGCACGTGCGATCTTCCCGGACCGGGGCACGAACCCGTGTCCCCTGCATCGGCAGGCGGACTCTCAACCACTGAGCCACCAGGGAAGCCCTCCTTCTATTTTTAGTAACAACAAACATGTATTCTTCCTGGTTTTTCTGTGTTTGTGCAAAAGTGTTGTTTCACTGAAACTTCCTTTTCCAAGTTATCGTATTGTACAAATCTATTTATTCTTTTAAAATGCCAGATATTATTAATTTTTAGATCTTTTTGCTAGTATAACTGGAGAAGAGTATCTCACTGGGGTTTTATTAGCACTTTAAAAATGATTATCAGTGTTGAGCAATTTTCATATTTTTGTGAATTACTGTTACATAGTTTCCATTTTAAAAAACCCTAAAAATAACTGATTTATATTAATTCCTCAAATATTATGAACCTTGTCTCTTATACTGCAAGTATTTTCTTCTGGTATCTGTACTGCTTATAAAGGACTTTCCGGTACAGTATTAGGTAAGGAGCCTTCTATACTTTCCCCCCAGTATTTGTTTATGTAGAAGTCTTTCTTCTAGTATTTAAGATAGTTATTTTTTAAAAAAGATAGTTACAGAATAATATAAATTCACTAATATCTTTCTGTTTGATCTCAACATGCATTTTTAAAGGTTTTTTTTTCTGTTGCCTTATTTCACATCATAATTTCCAAAGAAAACATCCTTTTAATCTAAAAAATGCCTAACTCTATGAACAACAGTATTACAGGACCATTATATTTCTTATATATATAAATCTGTCAGAATTTCTGGCATATACTTTGTACCATACTTTAATATCTTTCAGAATAATCATAAATCTTATCATTTGTTGTACCTTTCAGTCTTTTCTTATAGATTTAAGTTATCTCATACCAAATAAATAGAATTTTTAAAGATGAAAAGTAAAATTTCTTTTGCAGCCCAAATTTCTAGAGAGTACTTGGGGAAAGGGAGTTAAGTCCTTTGAGAATCTTCCCAAGAAGACCAAGATTAGACTGGTTAAAAGCCAGTCTGAATTAAATGGACCTCAGATGAAAGAGTGAATTACAGGATTTGCTTCTCATTCTCAATTCACATTGCTCATTGTAACCAGAGGATTGGCAAACTCCAAGTCCACTGCAGTGAAAAGGCCCTGCAAACTCAGGCTGGCTTGGAAGTCCACTAGTTTGGTGACCACAGCAACTGTCTATCACTCTCCTAAGGAAATTTTTAGAGGTGTCAAGAGAGGTAACATAGGGCAGCTATCTGAGAACAGATTCCACAAATTGTGCCCCAAAGACCACATGTGGAGTCTGAGCAAAGAAAACCTAGATTAGGCCTGTCCTCTGAGGTGCTAATTCCCTGAATGTAATTTAAAAAATTAAGATTACTAAATTTTTCTTAAGAGTATGTAAAATACAATTCTGATGGGAATTCCCTGGACGTCTAGTGGTTAGGACCCCGCACTTCCGCTGCAGGGGGCACGGGTTCGATCCCTGGTCGGGGAAGGATCCCGTAAGCCATGTGGTGTGGCCCCCCAAAAAAAAGTTTTGAAAAAAACCTCTAAAAATTAAAGCATAGACAAGGTGGCAATAAATAGGTGGAGAATCCTTCTGGAAATTAATGTATAATTAAATACCGTTCTTGAATCCATCATCTTCTTAGTTTTCCTTAAGGTTACATATGAGGCTATTGTCGAAGATTCGGGTGTTGGTGATTTTGTTCTTGGAGGAACTACTCCAACCGGAAAGTGGGAACCGAAAAATAAAAACAGCATTAAGTTCTACAAAACATCTTCACATGACATTGCTTTCTTTGGACATATTCAATTTCTGAGGCTTTTAAAATCAGAAGGCTTTTAAAATCAAATTTATCGTTTGAAAAGAGGGAAATGTAACAGCCTTTTGTTACTTATTTTACCTAATAAGCCAGCAATGATACTAACCAGACAAATTTAGGGTTAGCTTTAGAAATAAAGTTCTACTGATGATAACAGATGACATTAAAAAAATTATAAAATTTAGTGATACGCAGTGGATCATATATCTTCACAACAACCCTGTGAAAAAAGAAGATAAATGAAGTGCAGAATCTGGGTTAACTGACTTCCTCAAGTACATACAGCTTAGCAGCAGCATGGCTGGACCTTCTGCTTTGGCCCGTTTTCCCTTGTTGCTCTGCTTCTTCATGAAGTATTTACAATATTTTCAGAGGTTAAAAGTACCTTAATCTAATCCTCTCACAGAGATGAGGAAAGTTATGGCCAGAAGGGTTAAGTGATTTACCTAAATGTCCTTAATTCCCATTTGGTCTCTTTCAATCACACTGCACCACCTCAATAAAGAATCCACTAACAATGTTAACAATAGTTGACTATAGGTAATTGAAGTTACTTTTGCATTTTTGAAAAATTTCTAAAATGAACACACACTACTTTTATAATTAGAAAACAAACAATACACACACACAAAATCATTAATGCAACAATAAAAGCTAATGATCAGTTCACATAAAATGTATTCATCTGTACCATAGTCATCTTGTGTAAGCAGAATATATACACTATTGTCCACTGAGGACACAAGTAAAATAAGAAATTATTCAAGTCTCAATAGTTTGCTGAAAAAAAAATATCATTCTCTTTGGGCTCATTAAAGTTACATTAACTAAGTAGAAAAATGAAATCTTATTTTCCCCCCAAAGACAAATGGTAGTCAATCATTCAGGGCCCCTTTAGGTGATGAACCAAACAATCTGCAGCTTAATGAAGTTTTAATATTGTTTATGAACTCTGTGTTTATTACAGTTGTATATTTGAGAATGTGAAGAGCTGGACTGATGTATTACAAGTAATTTTTACAGTTCAAATAAAGAAAAGCCTTCTACTATGCTAGTCAATGGTCCATTTTTAAAAGCCCGACTTTAAGTCATGTGGTACAAAATAAATTACTCTGTAATTCAGACAATTTATTAGATGAGAGCTTATGATTATATACTAAAAAAAAAAAAACCCAAAATTTAAAAAACTTCCAGGAAGAATTCAAGCCATATTAGAGAACATATTTCAGATGACATCATCGTTATGACTAAATATATCTACCAGTTTTTTGCTGAGAAGTATTATAACCTGTTTAGCCGTACTCTTGTTGACAGACATATGACTGCTTCCAGTTTTTGTCTATTATGAATTAAAGCTGCTATAACAACCCTTGTATAAGTCTTTTGAGGGATTATACTTTCATTTTTCTTAGGTAAATATATAGGATTCCTGGCTATGATGACTGCATGTTTAACTTTATGAGAAACTGCCAAACTATTGTTCCATCCTATACCACCTCAGAAATGTGTGTGAATTCCAATTGTTCCACATCCTAACCAACACTAGGTAGTCAGTCTTTCAAGTTTAGCCATTCTAGAAGGTGTGAAATGTGATTTTTATTTGCATTAAAACTGCATTTCTTTTATGATTAGTAAGTTGTAAGCTTTTCCATGTGCTTATCGGCCATTTGTATACCTGATTTGTTAACTCTCCAAGGCTTTTTTTGCCTACTTTTTTTGGTTTGTTTGTTTTGTTTTTGCGGTATGCGGGCCTCTCACTGTTGTGGCCTCTGCCATTGCGGAGCACAGGCTCTGGACGCGCAGGCTCAGCGGCCATGGCTCACCTCACGGGCCCAGCTGCTCTGCGGCATGTGGGATCTTCCCGGACCGGGGCACGAACCCGTGTCCCCTGCATCGGCAGGCGGACTCTCAACCACTGCGCCACCAGGGAAGCCCTTGCCTATTTTTTTATTGGGTTGTTTATCTTTATTACTGATTTGCAAGAGTTATTTATACATTCTGGATACAAGGATTTTGTAAGGTATATGTACTGATAATATTTTCTTCCATTCTGATGGGCAAAAGTTTTAAATTTTGATGAAATTGAGTTAATCAGTTTTCACTGAGAGTATAGCCCTCAGAGGGCCCCAGCTTTATTTTAGGGGGTCTCCTAGCAGACTCCTAATTTGTTCATGCTCTGAGCTTTGTCCTGTCACAAGGTGAAAGCTGGCTTTCATGCTCCACTTAACTTCCCGGATGCCTCTTGCTATGGACTGAATTGGTCCTCCTAAAATTCCTGTTGAAGCCCTAATCCTTGATGTGACTATATTTGGAGATGGGGATTAAAAGGAGGTCATTAAGGTTAAATGAGGTCATAAGGGTGGGGCCCTGGCCCCCACAGATTAGTGTCCTTATAAAACGAGATACCAGAGAATTTACAGGCACTCAGAGGAAAGGCCATGTGAGGGAGGCAGTATCTACAAGCCAGGAAAAGAGTCCTCACCCGAAACCAAACCCTCTCAGAACTTGGTCTGGGACTTCTAGCCTCCAGAACTGTGAGAATAAACTTCTGTTGTTTAAACCACTCAGTCTATGGTATTTTGTTATGGTGGCCTAAGCAGACTAATGCACTACCCTTCATATAATTTTTGGCCTGAACATCCCTCTCTTTACTTTTCCGCAACTTGTGGAAGCGTCTCAAAAATATTTAAACTGATATGAACCAGCATTTATAATCTGTGGAGGATTGGCCAGGTATCTAGTTACCTATTTGCCAAAAACATTTACTTTTGTTTGCAGTTTGATATTTCCTGCATATTTATAATTATATGCACGAATATGGTAAGGACGAAGACCATGTCTGTTTCACTTACATCTGTGTATGAAAAGATAAAGTTAACAAAGATTTTCAATGAGAAAAAGATATGATTTGGATGAGAATGAGAAAGGTATATAAATATTAAGTTTTCAAGATGGCAGTATTTTTCTAATTAAAAAAAACCCCAAAACAACAATAACACAAAACCCAGCGTTAGAAAACCTAGAAGAATATTCCAATTATGGAAAAAGCTATGTGAATATTACCACTTACTATTTTTCAAGCTTTACTTTATGACCCTTTAGCAGATTATTAAAAATAAAACTGACTAGTGTGTTATGATCAGAAATTACTTTTCTGAAAAATCCCACATTTTGCCATATTTGTCTCAGCAGAGAGAGATGACATGTTGATATGTGGTTTATGGGTCATGTTATCTTCCCAATATCTGAAACTTCCATATTCAGAAACGCATCAGATTCCAAAGGTTTCAGATGAGGGACTGTGGACTTGTATATGTACTGTGTCAACATATAAACTAAATTTATTTCTAAGGTGTCTGAAAAACGCAGGAGATAAAACTTATCTCAAATGCTGACCTTTAACAGAAGTTTCCATTTCTGAAACAGATTCTGATTTTTCTTCTCCATTAGACTCATCAACTTCTGCCACTGTTGTTAACTCTGGTTCACTCTTGTAGAGTCTATAATCTGGACCCTTGAAAGGAAGATATGTAATCACACACAAACACACAAAAAAAGGCAAAAGTCTCTTTTAAAATGTTTATCTCTAAAAACTCACACTCTATCAATTAAAAGCCTCAGTCAGCTATCTTGGGTATAACACAATTAATATATATGTTACAATTAGGGTAGAAGAAAAGACTTTATAAAAGATTTTTAACAAGCATATCTTTTGATTTTAAAATTAAGAATATTCCTCTTAGGGACAAAGTCATCAGAACATTTTTATCATAGTAAAACTAAAGTCTAAAAATAATTATATCATATTAACTCAATTAGCCCTATTCCTTTTCTCCTTGTTCTCTTTTCCTTGCTTATTACATTTTACATTTATTTGTTTAATCCCCAAACTCCTTTTTTCCAGTTTCCATGGGTAATGTCTTTCCTTGGCAATGTCCACACCCTCTAACAGTTTACCTAGACTGAACTGCCCACATCCCAACCTTTTGATCATTCCTGGTAAGAATCTTCTTTTCCTTGTGTCTTTCTGATCTAAAGATATCATTTTGCTTCTAACATCCTGAAATGGTATATTTAAAATATGGCTCCTTAAACACAGGCACATAAAGTAACCACTTTATGAAAATATTCATGAAAAGCAGAAACTATGAAATTTTATTAAAATTGTGAAAATATTACAAAATAAGAATGGTAAAACTAAAACAGGAAAAACAAATGATAATGTTATATATGAACAAAAAAGTGCTGGCTAAAAGTGGTGTTATAATAAAAAAAAGTCTGAGTCTAAAATAAATTAAGTTTGAAAAATGAGGGCATGTACGATTGATTACTCTGTGGCTATTGCAGCCACTTACACAGTGAGATCCATTTCTTGGATATCCTTGAACTTGGTGAATCTTCTTTTCTTCGGGCAGATGGACTGGGCCCCTGCTATAACAGAGCAAGGAGCTGCTATCACTGGGCAGAGGGGGGATTATGGGAGGCTGGTCTGTAAAGTCATAGGACCGAGGAAGTGGAGGACGAGGTGGGACTACTTCCTCTTCCTAAAGATTGTAGAATAGTCACCTTATTTAGATAAGCATATTGAATTAAGTATATCGAAATTCTTTGCAATGGTAAGTTAACTTACATTCATTTTAAGATAATTAAAGGGACACTGCCAAGCCAAGAGTCTCATATGAAAAAGTAAAACCAAAAAATGTTTATGATAGCCAATAACTGGGTTTTAAATTTGACTGCATTTAATTTTTTCTGTAACACACAGGTTAGCTTTACTCTAAAGCTCAACATCAAAACAAATGTATGAAACTACTATATTTCATTTTAAAAATAAAAGGAAAGAATTCATTAAAAAAAATCTCACTCTGTATTGTTTTGCTAATTTTTAAGAGAAAAGAAAGAACATTTCTTTTTGATTGGCTTTTATACAAAATTCAAGACCACAGATGCTTTCACCCAGGTTGACAGTATCTCTTTGTAGTTGTCATTTCTTTATGGTATGCATGATACACAGCCAACTTATCATACCAAAAAATGATAAATAAATACTCAAATTACTTAGATTAGAAAAAGTATGACAATGTTAAAGTTCTAACATAGATGAGAAGTAGTGATTCAATTTTTTTTTCCATTAAGAAAAGGGAAGAAGATCACATCTGTTAGAAGAACCAAATTACTGAACCAGCAAAATTTTAAGATCAAAACAGTAACTCAAACATATTTAGAAAACATTTTTGTTATGAGTAGAGAAAATTCTAATTCATGTTTTAATTATAAATTAATTTATAGTTAGAGAAACAATCCAAACTTACCTCATTTTTGTACTTAACTGTTGAGAAAGGCTTTGATCCTATCATACCTATTAAAAAAAAATGTAAAATATAACTACTTACACTAAACATATCTTCCTAAATCTACAGAAAAAAGGAACAATTTCATTTATTTTAAACAAAGCCTTTAGTTTCTAACCCCTCATTTGTTTTCTGAATTTAAAACCCATTACATTGCTATACAGTAGAAATTAACACATTGCAAATCAACCACACTTCAATAAAATATACTTAAAAAACCCCAATACATTAAAAAATACAAAGTGAAATATCTAATATAAACAAGAGTATGGGGAAATGGGTTTTCTCAAATACTACTGGTTTAAGTATGATTTGATATAATCTTTTAGGAGAGCAATTTGGCTGTGCATATCAAAATGAAAAATGTGCACTTATTTCTCATTTCCTAGAACCCATTAGTACTAGCAGGTGTGTTTATTATGTACACAGTCATGTTCGTTACATCATGACTTATGAAAGAAAAGCAAAAAAACCCACCCACCCACCCAACAACCTGGAAGCAACTTACATTGTTCATCAACACCAAAATGGATAAATTATAGTTCATCTATACAATGATTCTTACACAGCTGTTATTGTATTATATTGTTAAGGAGAAAAAAACATATTGATGAAAAACAATATTTTCTGTTGTGGGGAAAAAACTCCCCAAACCAAAACACTGTGTGCATTTATAATTATAGACACAAAACAATGATTCATTTTTGTGTGAGTGTGGTTGGTAAAACTTTTGCTTTCTATATTACATATAAACTTGGGTACTGATTCAATATTACAAAGTGCCTGTTTTCTAATGTCAAAAATCCATTAAAATAACAAGAGAAATCCAATTCTATGTGTTATTCCATTTAGATATATTATTATGGTCAATAAGTGCAGAATAAAAGATGAGGCTAATGTACCTGTTTCTGCAGTGCCTCTCTGCTGTTTGTGTTTACTCAGTCCTTCCATGACATCCTGAATTCTCCAGAGTTCTTTCTGAAGTTGTGCACGCTGAATTCCT